GCGGTAGCTAAAGGGAGATCCAGGAGCACGGAGATCGGAGGACGCGCCGAGGCGAGATGCGAGGGAAGATTAGGGGCGGCAGATCTCCCTGCAGCTCGCTGATGTCACTGTTGCCTCCACGAGAGAGGCTCTCCGTCCGTCCGCCTGTCTGTTCTGGCGGGTACCACGGATCCCGTTGGTACGTTAAGGATTCTCAACAGTAAATTACAAAATATGCTAAGCGGCCGATATAAATCAGAGGCTGGCAAGGGTGCGGCGCGACGCAGGAAGGGGTGCAAAACGAATTTCTTACCCCGTCGCGTACCGATTCCGCTGGAAGAAGGGCGGCACGGTGGCTGGCACTCGATCGTTCCCAAAATAAGGGGCTCCCGGGGGCCCGTGTCACGGATCCAGGACGATGCGCGCCGCACACACCTCTCTCTCTCTCTCTCCCTCTAACTCTCATGGGAGTTTGCAAACCGAGCAAATGGACCGGAAGAGCTCGCACAGCACAGGCGATATAAATAGCTGCCGCGTTTCTATTCTACGATACCCGGATTCGGTTATGAAATTCGAATTAGTCGAGCGCGGCCCGCGTTGTTGCCGATCCGGGATCGAGATTTATGGCGGGCCCGTCACGCGGCCGAGCATTCGTGCGCCGCGATACACCGGCCCGATAAAAGTACGCGTTTGATTCGGCCGCGGAAGCCGAAGATCGATCCGCGATCGAGATACCCCCGGTCGTCGTGCTTGACTGATGCCTCGCCGAGAGGATCGGCAGCCCAGGCCCCGCCTGCCACTGTTTGCACGCGCTCGCCCACCCCCGGGGAAAACGTAATTACCGGGCGACTCTGAAAAATCCGGTTCCGATCGGTCACGGAAGATCGACCTTCGACGGGCATCGCCCGTAGGCGAATCCGATGCCTTCGGATCGCTAAAATATTGTTTCCCATAGGAAGCTGCATACTCTGCTACGCTAGGTGCAAAGTGGAGTACGACGGGACTTCGATTATCCGAATAAACCGGTGGAGAACAAATCGGACAATAGAAGGGTTATATAACGCGTTGGCTCGGTCGCGTTGTCGGTCACATATGGCCGACAATTTATTTTTTGTTTTCGCTATTCATTTTTATTTACTTATATATTGCCATAACGGATTCGCGGCGAATATAACATGCAAATGATGAAGGAAGGAACGAATGCAGTCCTCCTAAGGTCGATTTTAAATTTAGCTGTCGAGAATGATGAACGAAATAAATTCTATTCTAATACATTCGAACAAATTCAAGTTTGCGCGGGCTGTTTAGAACGCGAAAAGAGTGAAAATAAATTTACAATAACGTCTCCCTAATTGACGCCGAAATTGTGCACAAAAATCGACAATTTGGGAAGTGAAGATACGATTGTTCGAGCCTTGCAGCTCATTTCTATATATTTCTATATATATTTCTATATTTCTATATAATAAGCATAAAAAACAAGCCACAAGGCTCGAATAATCGTATCTCCTCTTCCAAAATTGTCCATTTTTGAGGACAAACTGAGCGTCAATTAGAGAGACATTACTGTACTTCCATTTTGTGGGAATTTTATTTGACAATGTCTACTTTCAACGTTGAACGTTCTCACTGAATCATAAACCCAATTAGCTACTTTTGCGCACAAGTATCAAATGTTCGAAGCAATTCGAACTACAACAAGTCCTACGAGTAGCTGGAACAGACATTGTTCGTGGTATACATACAGATAAGCGGCGAGTATGCTAATTCGAGGAGAAAAAACGAAGCGATTCCAGCAGAGAAATACCACAAGTGTTTGAACTGCTTTCTCCGGTAAGCTTCCTCGATAAAATTTTGCGGATGAACAAATCAACGAAGCGTTTTTGAAAAGGTAACAGCCCGAAGATTCGCAACGGAAATTCTGACGGCTCGTTTCCCCCAGGCATCCGACTAAATGAGACCGTTTACGTTCGAGTTTTCTTCACGCTTTCAGCTACCAGGCACGTCATCGCGCGCGACGAGTAACTGGCATAATAAATTGCGGGGATAGCGCAATAAACCGGCGCGCCGTAAATCCGTTCCCGTGAAAATCCGTCGCCGGTCATTAATCTCAATTTCAAACGGTAGAATCCGCGGCGCGATAAAACTCTCCGCGAAAGTTCCCGCGCGCGGCAGATCGTCTTTACCACGGTTCGCGTTTCCACGCGGGGAACCGATGCCCGGCATCACGCGATTGTTCCACATAGTCCGGCGTCGCGATAAATTATGCTACCCGCGAGCACTCAATTATGCGCGCGGCACTATTAATCGAGATACGGGGAAACCGTGGATGTTAATAAAGCGTCGAGCCACGGCCGAGAGTGTTTTCAGCGACGTTTACACGCGGCTATCTGCCGATCTACGCTAATCGAGCTCCCCGGATTCACCCGGTCGTCGCGCGCCGCTATCTTAACGAACTCCCCGTGGATTATCTGCCGGCCGGCCGATCTGAAATCGAGCGCTTATCGGTTCGTAAATTCGTCCGAACGAGCTCGCCGGCTCGTGAATATTTATGAGCCGCCTAAACGATCGTTGCGAAAGTAATATTCGGGCCGCGAGGACAACCACGAAATTTCGGACGTTTCTTCAACGATATGCGGGCTGACTTTCGATCACGGGCATTTTGTGCAATATTATTTGCATGAAAGTATCCGGCTGATACTCCGGACTGCTTGCATAAAGGGAGTCGACGAGCCTCCGATGAACCGAACGTTCCTTTATGAAATCTGTCAGGTCGTTCCGACGTGAACTAAATAATGCTCTTGTTTCTTTTTTCCTTCGGTCGGATCCGAGCGTCGTAACCGAGAGCAGAACTGGAGACTTCGACGCCGATCAGCTGCGTAAGCGATGCGCGCCGAGACTCGCATTCTACTCTCTGGAAACGCGTTCCTGCGTGCTCAGGGGAATTCAGGGGAATTATTTTTCAGTACCCCCCGGGTGTAGATAGTAACGTGTCGCAAGCGGACCGTCGAGGCAACGCGTTTTTTTCTGAATTAGTAATAGGCTCGTGCTCGTGGACTGTGTCAAAATTAATATGCAGCTTGCGGATTTCATATATGAACGCGTCAACGTAATGCTTACATAAAGCGACGACTTCATTAACCTTTAACTCGGAACATATCTAACGCTTGTACTACAAGAAATAATTTCACAAAAATTCGCAGGCTACTTATAACATCGAAACTTTATTTAGAGGAAGTCGAGACGCGATTATGTGTACTGCAAGTAGGCAGCTGAATAGTTTCGAATGTTTCGTGGGTGTTTCGAATAAGAAAGGCAATACTCTCAAATACACTCGAATCCGGATAAGAGAGAGAGAGAGATAGATTGGAACTCTTTTGTAAGTATTTGGCGGAATTTAAACTTCCAAGTATACTCGAACTCTGAGCGAGTAGATGCGAACCTTTTAGATGTACAATAATGTCTCCCTAACTGACGCTCAGATTGTGCACAAAAATGGACAATTTAGGAAGAGGTGATACGATTATTCGAGCCTTGCGGCTCGTTATTATAGTTATCGATTATCAACACCTATAAAAATGGGCCGCAAGGCTCGAATAATATTATCTCCTCTTCCCAAATTGTCCATTTTTCTGAGCGTCAATTAGAGAGAATTTACTGTACAGTAATGTCCCCCTAATTGTCGCCTAAATTGTGCAAAAAAATGGACAATTTAGAAAGAGGAGATACGATTATTTGAGCGTTGCGGTTCATTTTTATAGTCACGAATTGTCAACAACTATAAAAATGAGCTTCAAGGCTCGAATAATCGTGTCTGCTCTGCTAAATAATAATATATAATAATAATATATAACAATAATCGTCTCTGCTAAATTGTTCATTTTTGTGGACATCTGAGCATCAATTAGAGAGACAGTACTGTACATAGGGATGGTTCGGAGGTCAATCGGTGTAAGGTCACTTTACTTTGAAAATGAGTTACGTCGCGCATACATGTCTTTATTATAGGATCTTTCGGTCGATAAATCAATATAGTCAATTTTTTCATAAATAAACTACAATTAGCAGCGTTTATATCGACTAAAAAAATTGTTCAGAGGGAATTTTTTCCTAAAAAAGTTTTCCCTTTATTTCTCCTCTGCTTAAGTTCATTTCTATGCCATCTTACAATGAAAATTGTCCTTAGCATTATTAGCTAAGCTAATAATAAAGCTTTTTACAGCTACTTTGCGAAATCTTAATTTAGCTCAATTGTAAGATTAATAGACTTGCAAGGATTGGTTTTCGAGTCGTCCATACGTACAGTATTGTCTCAATATTATGTAGAAGCGAAAAAGAACTTCGATATAAATGCTACATCGAGACTCGAGACAATGGAAAGTTAAAATACCTACTAATAACAATGATAAATGTAGGTATTCGCAAATATCTCGCAATCAGAATTCGAGAAGCGTTTCTGAAGGGTTCGAATCTTTCTAGCAGCGGGGATTATTATTATTAACTCCCAAGTACGTTTTCGAATCTACAAGTATCGGTCAACAATCGGTTTCCAATTTATTATCATAGGATTATTGAAATGACAGAAATGTTTTTATGTAAGATGACTGAACTTTTACATTTAAGCACGTATTATAATGAAAATTACACAAAGTCCAAACAAGCGCAATCTTGTAACTTTAATCAGATAGGACAAACCAGTAAATTTTAGTGTCCGATAGATTTGTATGTCGATGAAATTTTTGAACAGCAATCGAAACCCATGAAATACAACTTGGTTATTGAAACTGGCTCGAGATGTCATAAGTACGTATCTAACTAGCTCCCATCCCTAATGAGTAGCTCGAGAAATGCTGAACCGTCGATCTCCGGTTCTAAGTATCCTATTAGAAAACTTTCGACAGTTATTCTAGTAACTATCGATACTATTCGGTTCCAGAAGTCTGTTAAGCAGCCAACAGGTTTGTTAGCAAGCGACCAAGTTCGTTAAGATACGGCGAATGGAAGATTATTCAGAGACTCACGTGGACCATAGTTCGTGAGTGGGTGGCAGTTTGACGTCGGCCGCGGTCTTCTCCGGCAGTTTATAGTACTCGTAGACGTAGGAAGCGGCCGGATCGTCGCCGTGGCTGGTGACAGCCGAGACTTGGTGTTGCTGTTGCAGATTGAGCATCGCGGCGGTCGCCACGGAGAGCGGGTGCTCGCAGTAGGTCCGCCAGTCGCCCTCCATACTCTGCACCTGCACCTGCACGGCAGCAACCCTCTTGTGTACTTCAGGGTCGGCGCCCTCGGCACCGCTTTGCAACGATTGCGCCGCCTGCGCCGCAGCCTCTTCCGCCCCGAGTTCTTCTTCTTCCTCTGGTTCACGTTGCCCGGACACGTAGCTCGGCTGTTGTTGCTGTTGCTGCGAGGTGTCGTCGTTGACCACGCCGCTGTTCGTCTCCTCCTCGCCCCGGCTTCGCCGTCTGAAATGACAAACCGTGTTCTTTGTTAACGCACACGCACCTTTGTCCGGCCGCGAGAATTCTACGACTCGATCGCGCACCACAGTATCATGCCGGCATTTCGGCTCTAATTCTGACGCAAACTCTCTCTCTCTCTCTCTCTCTCTCTCTCTCTCTCGCTCTCTATCAAAAACGCCCGTTTCATAGTTTCCAACCTAATAATCAACACTTGTGAACCGAGATTTCTACCGCTTTTAGGTGCCTCTTGCCTCTTCCTCGGCTCGCGAGCACCATCATTTATAATTTTTAATCGAAGTAATGAAACTAAGACCATACGTATTTGAGAAGCAATTGAAAAGCTATTTGAAAAGCTATTTGCAAAGCGTATAATGATATATCCATAAGTGTATAAAGTTCCAACAAAATCGGTGATCCCAGGGCCTTGCACTCTCCTTGTCAGTTTCGAGAGAGAGATTGAGAGAGAGGATGTTAAGCATTAGGAGGAGAAGTTATGATTACTCAAGCTATGCGACTCGTTTTTATAGTTGATGACAATCGGCAAGGCTCGAATAATCGAATAATCGTGTCTCCTCTTCCCAAATTGTCCACTTTTTTGCACAATTTAGGCGACAATTAGGGAGACATTACTGTACAGCAAATTCTCTCTAATTGACGCTCAGAAAAATGGACAATTTGGGAAGAGGAGATACGATTATTCGAGCCTTGCGGTCCATACGATTATTCGTTTTTATAGCTGTTGACAATCGATGACTATAATAACGAGCCGCAAGGCTCGAATAATCGTATCACCTTTTTTGTATTCTACCGTATTTTGTATTCTATGTGAATACGAAACAGTATACGTCTGATATAGAGCACCAAGATCGCATAGTAATCGTTCGTTTATCGGTTCTCGGTGTTGAGGACAGAAGAACGCAACGCGTCAACGATCTACTATGAATATTCGTGATAGACGTGATCGATGAGATGGGCAACAAGAAGTAAATTATTGCCTACTGCCTCGGCGAAACGCTCCATCGCTAAAAAAGACGATTACTTAAACTATTGATCGCAACGCGCCGAGCTTGAAACTATTCCAATCCAGGCAGAAAGAGCCAGGTCCGGTGTAAACACGTGTTTTTCAAGCTGCAGCGACATCATGTTCATTCATCTTGTGTGCAACTCTGTCACAGTTTTTTAGGTAACGCCCCTTCATCGCGATTGCCGTCCGAAGTACTCCAGTTTAAATTAGATGATTTGTTAAAAAGCAGCCGCGACACCGTCACGTCCATCCAGCGGGCAAATGTTTACCGCGTCTCTTAGGCGAGCCCACGTTCGAGTACGTCGCTCAATCCCCACCAACAGAAATTCGACGCAAAATGGTTACTTCAAATATTGTCACGTCCAATGTAGAACTTCGATTGGCCGTATTGAAAAGTTATACAGGGTGTCCCGAAAACGTTTCGCAATCCGGAAATGGGAGGTTCCTGAAGTCATTTGAAGCAACTTTTTCCTTTGCGAAAATGTTTTCCGAGGCTTTGTTTACAAGTTATTAACGAAAAACACTGACCAATAAGAGGTGAGCTCGGCTGGCGTGCGGCGGCTCAGCCAACGAGTGCACGGAGCCTAGTTCCGCTGATTGGCTCGGCCATCTCGCGCCAAATGATCTCGCCTCTGATTGGTCACTGTTTTTCGTTAATAACTCGTAAACGAAGCCGCGGATTGCATTTTCGTTAAGGAAAAAGTTGCTTCAATAGACCTCAGGAATCCCCTACTTTCGGATTGCGAGACATTTTTGGGACACTCTGTGTATATATATATATATAATATACGCCCTCACCTCTCATTGGTCAGTGTTTTTCGTTAATAACTCGTAAACAAAGCCGCAAATTGCATTTTCGCATAGGAAAAAGTTACTCAGAATGATCTCAGCTACCCCACATTTCCGTAATGGGAGACACTTTGGGATACTCTGTAGAATGTGGTAGTCGACGAATTTCACGAATTTCGCGTTAGAACGAAAAGAAGATGTTCGCGGATTGAAATGTGACATGCCTGTTGTGTGCAGCGGGCCTCGTGGATTGAAGCTGATCGTAATGGTTCTTCGCGAATCGAAAACGATGGGGTATTCAAGACTGCGACGATTCTAGGAGCTACATTAGTTAGAACAATTAGAACGACGTTTAGAACGATCGTTCGAAACGACTATTTAGCCTACTCTTCATATCTGAAACCATCGTCCAGAGGCGGTCGGATGAAGACGGTTACAAGACGATTATTGAAGAACTCCGTCTCTTCATTTGCTTCGGGGCATATGTTTGAGCCCCGAGGTACATTGAAAAACCCATAAACCGGACATTGCCCGGTGACAGAGTGGACAGTAGCTAACAAATGCAGCGGATCCACGCGAGGCTGCCTCATCTGACCGGCGATGTCCGCGCGATCCGCCATCGATTTCCCAGAAGTCCCCTGGCGTGGTACGTGCGGTGTTAGGCCGGCTGCATAATGAATCCGCGCGGCTCCGAGTAACTGTTAGAAATGGCCGGGCGTCCCGCGATAAATTACCGCGGGCCCATCGAATTTATCAATTAACGATAATCGCCGGCGCGCAAGCACTCCCGCCAATGATTCCTCAATTTAGCAACGGCCGGCGTGACGGAGTGTCCCGCTTCGCGCCACACACGCTCGCCGCCGTCGATAATTTATTGTGCGCCGCGTCGCGATACCTAATCGCCTCTGCGGGCCGCCTTTCCGGGCTCGCATGCCCGGCCGAGCCACCTGGATATTTGTCACCGGTCGTTAGTTTCCGGCGAAGACGCGGCCCCGTCTTCCGGCTGCGTCCGTTTCTCGCTTCTATCGCCGCGCCGGCCGAAACGAAAAATCGAGTGTCACAGGACATTCTGCCGACTGTAGGATGCCCGTCAAAAAAAAAAAGAAAAAAGAAAGAAAAAGAGAGAGGCGATAGATGCGAGGAAATATGGTGAACGGCAGGCAGATGCCTTCAACGCGGCAAGAAGGATCGAAGACGCGCGGAAGGGTTGAGGGAGATAGGGTGTCTACGCATACACGTATACACGCACGAAGATTAATTATTATAAACCCCTGCCTTTTGCCTACAGTCATCAATTTATACTCCTCGCTGGCGCGCATCCCAATTCCAATCCCAATCCCGTGAGTCGCGCACCGAATAAAGGCTCATCCTCTCTAATTTATGCATGTCGAATCAATCTCCTTCTTCCCCTTTCGCACCCTCTGCTCCCCCTCCTACTTTTTCTTCGACTCCGTTTCTCTCGATCCAGGAGATTGCTCTCTCTCTCTCTCTCTTTCTCTCTCTCTTTTTCTCTCTCTCCTTCTCTGTTCGTCTCGTTCGGTCGTCCTTCTTCGCCGACATTCGCCCCTCCTTCGTTCTCGCCGGTTCGACGGAGTCCTTCCTCTTGTTGCTCCTGTTCGCAGTGCACCTGGGCAACTCGCGTCGCCCCTTCGGCGAGCAGCTACCCCGATAATGAGGGGCCGCGTTATCCTGTGCAAATATTTTCCTCGACCGGTGTTTGCACAGCCACGGCGCCCGGGAACGGGAGCGAATGCCGCTGATCAAATCCAGCACGCGGATGCGCGAGATCGGCAAAGAACGATATAATGAGTTCATTCGTGATCATCTAGCCGGAGAACACACCGGGGATGGGCAAATAGACCGCCGCACCGCGCCGCGCCGCGCCGTTCCAGCGAGAAGAGGATTCGTTCGTTCCTGTGCGAGGGCTGCTCGTCGACGGTTCGATGGTTTCTCGCATTAATCATGCAATGACTGCAGCGAGGGGTTCTACAGTTGTACAAGTTACTTTCCCGCAGGGTGCACGGAAACTGCAGTTATTAAATCATTTTATCTTGAGTATATTTTTCACCTGCCTGTTTTTAAGATTACGGTTGAATAATAGGCTCTTTGATGTTGCCGCAGTACCATTTTTATTATTCTTTCATTTTCTTATTTTTTTATTATTCTTTTTATTTTATTATTCTGTCTGCTTATTCGACTCATATTTCTCTTTATCACAACAGCTTGTAGATCGAACATTCTGTACAATGTTGAACGTCTTGTTTCGGCACCGACAAACATATTAGAATAATTAGCCAAAATTCTCTAAGACTCTGCGCTTGCATTTCCCGATTCTCCAATTTCCCCCGAACATCTACCGAACACCGGACGTAACACGTTACTCAATAAGTCTCCGGTCTGACACATACATGGCAACACTGTTGACAAACCTATATGANATCAAAATTTTCTTTTGTGTGATATATTTCGAAACAAGGTGCAGCACATAGCCCAACATTGCAACTATTACACATGTTACGACTCTCTTTTCTTTTCCTTTTTCCTTTGCTACCTCTTTTAGCACAACACACAGCGCAATATCTTGTGGGCGATTCTTTTTTTGGTGTTGGTGAAACATTGATGTGGTGGAATTTGGATATACTGCGCTTTTGTTCCATGGAAAAAGGCTATATTTTATTCTTGAATAAATAAGTGTTATAGCCCATGTTAATGATAAATATCACACAATAAAACGATATTTTTTCTTTGCTTTCACATTCTTATTTTCAATTCTCGATTATATTCGAGTGTGAAAAATTATAGCAGCATAAAATACAACGCCGCTCGAATTATCTCGAGTGATTCTAAGTTTCGCGATTATTTGAACTTAGCCTTCTCCATACGAATCGGTGAATTCGCCCGTACGATGGAAGAGTATAAAGGAGCATACGTCATTCCTTCAAGACCTGATACGGTCCAGTGACAATCGCGTCGGGCAGAATATCGCGGCGCGCTGTGTCAATTTATTATAGCGCCTACCATAAACTGACTTCCCGGTTCGCGCCGGGAACGATTATTGCAGAAAATTCGGCCCGGACGGTCGCGCGCGGCCGACCCTCGGCCGTGGATCGACTCCAAATTGCTCGCCCTCTAATTAACTTCCTGACTGTTCCCCGAAACGGTTCCGTACCGCGAGCGCGAGGCGAGCCAT